AGCCAATGAGTTAAGATAATCAACTATTAAGATAATAAAATGTATTATTAAGATATAAACTGTTTTATCAGCATTAGACACAGAAAACGGAAAAGTTAATGACGACTGTTACTCATTATTGTATAGCAAATAAAAGTTCTGCTGCACTGTGATAAACGTGTTATACAGTAAGTGAGCAGTAAGAAGCTGCCTCCTACCCTGACTGCAGAAGATGAGCGACCAGAGGAAGATGATGATGATGAAGCTCATGTTTGCCTTTAGCTCCACGACGATGAGACCCGACTGTCAGTCATGAAGAGCTAAACACACAGGACTAATAAACACTGCCAGGGCACTGAAGTGTTTAACACTGATGCAAATGATCCTCTGCATGCAAAGTGTCTCTCGTGTCTCTCACAGTGAAATCAGCTGTGTCACACTTACTGAAATGTGCCCTAACTGTGACAGTATCGCAATATAATTTGTCTGTATTAATTGATGATTGCAGCTGTACCAAAAATTCCTATTTATTGTTTATTTCACCATATTTGTGTTTTTTATCAGTTACTTTAATAATAGATACAAACTGATTTGTTCAATGTTTTTATTTATCACAATTAATCATTAAATTGATTCAAATTCCATGGATGCAAATAAGTTCAGAATTGATCTTAACATTACATTTTGATAATTGAACCAAAATACAATCTAATCAGTTAGTTTAATGCTTTGATCACAGATTTCTGTCTTTCTCCAGTCCATTTTTTGTTGGAATGTATATTAATATTAGCAAACATACATAATCCTTGTATGAAATACACTTTCTAGGTAGTGTCCATAACATAAAGTATCACCAATGCCATCTTAATCGTAATATAACTGTCAGGATTGGTCCCCATCCTGCCCCTTCAGTATGTCTGTTCCCAGTTTGGCCAGCAGGTGTCACTGGCCATCCCATATCCTTAAGTCCTAGTGCTTCCCTGTTCCTCTGGTCACCACATGGCTTATTGGGCTAAGTCGTCCTCTAGTTATAATTTAACATGTACATTATTTTGTGTTTTTGTGTCTTCTTGGTGTATCATGCATTTCAGTTACAATTCAATGTTTTTGCTCCATGTTCCCTGTTTGTTCAGTTTTCCGTCTTTTACTTTCCTTTGGTGTTTGAAGTTTCTGTATCTGTTAATTAACTCCACCTGCTCCTCGTTGGTGCTTGTCTCTTGCTTGAAACGGCCCCCACCTGTGCCTTGTTAGCGCTTGTTATCCGTATATATCTCTGCCTGTTGCCTTGTTTCTTCAGTGGGTTATTGTGGCTGTTACTGTGTGTCTCTAGCTGTGGTAGTTTCCCATGGTTGCTGTGGCTGTTCCTGTGTTGCTCCCTGCCTTAGTTAATGTAGATTACCTGCTTTTGTTTTGACTCCCTATGGTCCCTTTTTGTTTTCTTGTTTTGTTTTACTTGAATCTGGCCCTTTGTTTTATGAGCCATAACATGGATCGTCCTTCTCTTTGTCATGCCCCACTGTAACAACCTTACAATGTCTAATGTTGAAATGCAAGTGTAAAAACTGTATAAATATGATGTCAACTAGTGGGATGGATTATT